ATGATATCCTGGTCTATTCGAAGAGCAGAGATGAACACATTCAGCATCTGACTTAAGTATTATAGGTCTTCAGAAAAAAGAAACTATATGCAAAATTGAGTAAGTGCAGTTTTTGGCTTGATCAGACTTCTTTCTTGAGGCATATAATATCAAATGATAGAGTATCAGTGAATCTCGAGAAGGTTGATGCAGTGATGGGTTAGAAGCAATTGACTTCGATTGAGAAAATTCGAAATTTTTTGGGTACGATAGGTTATTACCGCAGGTTTGTAGAAGAATTTTCAAACACAGCTACCCCCACCCAACTTACGAAGAAAAACGTCAAGTTTGAATGGAATGATGAATGTGAAAAGAGCTTTACAAAACTTAAGAAATGACTTACTACCGCGCTAGTCTTGACCCTGTCGAATGGAACATGTGGATATATAGTATATAGTGATGCATCCTACCAAGGACTAGGTTGCATTCTAATGCAGCACGGGAAGGTCATAACTTGTTGGTCTAGGTAATTGAAAGTTCATGAAAAGAATTACCCCAGCCACGACTTGGAACTAGCCATCATTATTCACACCTTGAAAATTTGGTGTCATTACTTATATGGGAAAACATTTGAAATTTATAGACACCATAATAGTTTGATGCATATATTCACCCAGAAGGATCTCACCATGCGTCAGAAATGTTGGATAGAGCTCCTCAACGATTACGATTGTAAGATCTTGTATCTCTCAGGCAAAGATAATGTGATAGCTGACACTCTCAACAGGGTGATAAAGTTTATGCAGCAGATACAGCTCCAAAATTTAAAAAAAGCCACATGTTTGGCCCACCTAACAATCCAACCCGAATTAATCTAGAGAATAAATGAGACTCAACTAACTGATCCCACTCTAGCAGCTCTTAGAAATGATATAGAACATGGTTTAAACTTAAAATTATGAGTCTTTGCCGATAGGTTGCTTAGGTTCTAGAATAGGTTATGTGTTCCCAATGATAACAAACTTAAATATATCTAGAAAGTACGAAGATGTATCGAAACATGTGACCCTGATTCTGGTGGAGCGGGATGAATAGAAAAATTGTCGATTTTATCTCCGAGTGCCTTGTATGCCAATAGGTCAAGACAGAGCATCAACGCCCAAGTGGGCTACTTCAGTTATTACTGATCCGGAATGGAAATGGAAACATATCATCATGGACTTTATAACATGATTGCCTAAGGCAAACTCAGGATATGACGCGATTTGAAAAATTGTTGACCGACTCACTAAGTCCTCATTTTTTTTTACCATCAGAATGATTGACCCCTTGGATAAACTAGCTAGAATTTATATTCGGGAGATAGTTAAGCTGTATGGAATTCCAGTGATAGTGGTATCAAATAGGGACCCTAGGTTCACCTCTCGATTTTGAACGAGTTTTCAACAAGCAATAGGGACGAAATTGTCTCTTAATATAATTTTCCATCCTCAGACATATGGATAGTCAGAAGGAACAATTCGCACATTGAAGGATATCTTTATGGCTTATTTTCTAGATTTTGGAAGGCACTGGGATGACCACCTACTCCTGGTAGAGTTCGCCTACAAGAACAGTTATTACGCAAGTATTGGTATGACTCTGTATGAAGTATTATATGGTCGACCCTGTAGATCGTCGATCTGTTAGGAAGATGTGGGTGATAGAAAATTAATTGGCCTAGATCTTATAGATGAAACCACAACGAAGATTGTTAAAATCAGAAGAAACATCCAAACGGCCCAAAGTAGACAGAAAAGTTATTCGGACACCCGAAAAAGATATTTGAAATTTAAAAAAATGATCGAGTGTTCTTTAAGGTCACCCTCTTTATAGGCATCACTAGGTTTGGAAATAGGAGAAAGTTAAACTCCCGGTTCATCAGACCGTTTGAGAGTTTAGACATGGTTGGGATATCCACTTACAGATTAGCACTACCTCCAGAACTATTCAGAGTCTATACCGTATTTCATGTATCAATGCTACACAAGTACAACCCGAATCCCTCATATGTTTTATCTTACGAGCCACTTCCCCTGTAGGAGAATTTATCTTACGAAGAAGTACTGGTTGATATTTGGACCTAAAGAGCAAAGTGCTTCGTAACAGAGAAATTCCTTTCATCAAGGTCTTATGGCAAAATCACTTGCAATACGAGGCCACTTGAGAATTAGAATCAGATTTTATGACTTAGTATCCTCAATTGTTTGACTAGTGGGAGAACAGCAAATTTGAGGGATAATTTTTTTCTTAAGGAGGGAGAGTTGTAACATCCTGAGCCGGGGATTTAGGCTCATGATTATTTAATTTATATTAATAATAATTTTAGAAATTTTAATTTTAATTTTCGTTAGTTTTTTAAAAAATATACATTTTGAGTGTATTTAAAAATAATTTTTGAAAATTAGGGTCAAACTAGAAATAAGAATGACTTATTTGAAAAACAAATTGAAAAACTAGGGAAAAAGTGTAAAAATAAAAAAATAACCATGTAGGACAGCCACGCCAGCAGAACAGCCAGTCGTTGTGCACGCGCGTGGCAGACAAGCGGATACGCGTTCCACGCAGGAGGCCACGCGGGTGATCCGCATGCCAACCAATCCAATGGTCGAGATTCACTCTCATGCACACGAACGACCTAGATCAGTTTCCCATTCAGGTGCAATCGAAAGATCCACGCACATTTGATCTGACAACTTTGATTCATTTCCTAAATAAGCTAAATATGACGGTAGAGATTAGACCATGCGGGCCCAAACAGATGGTACAAATCGAAGAAAGAGGAATATTTAAACTCCTCTTTTACTAAAACCCTAACTCTAGCCGCAACCAGTTCGTCGGAGAAGAAGAAAAAGGGTGGTCGAAAAGAAAAACCAGCCACCATCACCGCCGCATCAGAACCCATCACTAACGCTGAAATGTGAGTTTTTTCTTCCTGTTCACTTCATTTTTTTATTTTAAGCCACCCCAAACCTTTATCGGTGCCGAAAGGCCAAAGGAGAAGCTAGAAACAGAGGGCAGAGCTCGGCCGAGCCGCCACACCCAAAATAAAAAACTCCTCCGGTGAGCCCGAATTCGTTTTCCATTCCCTTCTATTTTTTAACCATTGGTTTTTTAACGTGTTTTCAATACAAGGCAACCGAATGAAAACTGCAACTGCGAGGGAGGAATGGCAGAGTCGCTGCACCAGAAACCCCAAACCGCCGGTAAGTTTCGATTTTCTCATTTTTTTGCCAACAGAGACCATCTAACCCCGAATTTGCAGGATTTCTCACAGAACCGACCGAAATCGAGCTAACTGAGAGGAGGTACCACCGTAGGCAGCGAAGTCAGTGCCGAAGCACGGTGCCGCCGCCATGTCGAAACCCCCGAGTAGATTTTAACCCATTTTGGCCTTTTTTTTACGTAATTCTATGATATTTGATGCGTGTTTTGGTTTTCACAGAAAAATTCAAAGAATTCAAAAATTGGGAATCGTTAAAAATTGTAGTTGAAAAGGCAATATTTGAAACACCGACCTGGGATAATAAGTCCTCACCTTTTCTCTTGTTACGGTTAAGTTAAAATTAAATAAATAATAAACGAAAAATTTTAAACGTTGGTG